CCCGCCCACCCACTCGCCCGTCCCCCTGCCCTGTTCACAATGTGAGTCCGACACCCCGCCGAGGGAAGGTCGCCCCGGTGTGAGGCCGAGGCCGCGCCGGGTGCTCCTGGGCTGCCGGGACGCGGCCCTCCCCTCGCTTTCATCCCCCTAGGCGTTTTCGTCCTTCGTGGTGGCAGTCGTTCTTGCCGGGGGTGGGAGGGCTGGGATCCTTGTTCCGGTTACCGTTGGCGGGCGGAGGACATTCTTCCAGATGTCGGCTTCCCCCACCTTTAACCGTCCCTCGCTTCCCGGTGCCGGAAATCCCACTTTCCCTCTCCGGCCACCCCGGCTGCGCGGAACTCCGCGGAACTTAGCTCTAGGCCGTAAGCTGTGTGAGCTTTTTGCCATGCGGGCGCTGAGGAGGCGCGCACCCGCGTCGGTTACCCCCTTGGCGTCTTGGCCGGGCTGATTCTGCCGCTCTGCGTCCCCGGCACCAGGCCTTAGACCCAGTGAACCTGTGGTGGGTGCCACCGGGAGCCGGAGGTGCTCTTGGTAGGGCACCACGCGGCCCTCACGGTGAGCGGCAGGTACTGCTAGGCAACTAAGAGAAGGCCAATCCGTCACCACAACTTACTTCCCTTTCCCGTGTCTTTATTTCTTGAGTGTGGGTCCTTTCTGGCCGCCTCCTAACATCAACCTAGAGAATGAAGGTTACCAAAACTCAGCCGCTTCTCTGGCTGCGAGCAGTTAGCATTTAGCAGGTAGTTCTGCACGTGTTGCGTCTAAAGATACTTGTGGACTTTTTTGGTGTTCTACATTGAGTTTTAGGTGAGGTTTCGTCATCCTGTCCCAGTGTAAGGATGAAATAGATACCTAGTTACCTTATTTGAAATAGCTTAAATTTGTTTATATGTAGATAAGCACAGATCTTTTAGCAGTCTTAATTTAAAATTAATATCATGATAAAGGAAAACCTGATTTTGACCAAATAAGAATTCTTGGCACTGCCACTTCCAGGCCTTAACATTGTTTTCAGAAAAAGTACCTTTTCAGATGTGAGAATTGTGGGTTTATGGGTATGTATTTTTTGGGGGAAGGGGCACTAACTGTACCCTGGAAGTTAGAAATAAGAACACTTTATTTTTACAGCCATTAATACTTTCAAGGGTTTTATTTAATAATACAACGATACTTGATTGATTATATTGGCTAGAAATCTAAGTGCATAATGGATACATTGCAGCCAGTTGGTGGCAGAGAACTGTATCTATTACTGTGAGGGCATATATTAGAATTTTGAAGCATTTATTTACCCTCTCAAAAGTGGTACTTAACGAGATGTTCCTTTTTTTTTTTTAAGTAATAATTATTTAATTTTAGTTGTTGTTATTATCTTTTTTTATTTGACCAGAGACATAAAGAGCAAGTGAGAAAGCAAGCCACCAAGTCCAGGACTCAAACCATAGCCAGCCATATGGGAATCCAGGGCTTTAACCACCATGCCACCTGCAGGCCCCATGGGACACTCTTTTTACACTCTGAATCTGACTGCTTGCATCCCTGTAATGTGTTCCTCTTTAGAGAGAGATTTTCGCTAATAGGATGTGTGCGCTAGCCAGAGAGACAGAAAGCGAGAGATTACCCCTGGGGGATGGACACTAAAATCCCTTCTCCATTCTATTGGGATCTTGGGCAGGCATGCCTAGTGTGAGGTTTTTGTTTGTGTGTGTGTGTGTGTGTGTTTAAGAATTAAATTTGAGGGAACCAGCAGTTAGCGTAATGGCTATGTCGCTGGACTCCCACGTAGCCACAGTTTGAGTCCCGAACCTGGCAGCTTAAACTCACGCCGGCGCATGTGCGTGCTTGCCCAAGATCCCGAGAGGAGAATGGAGAAGGGATTGCGGTGTGGACATCCCCCCCAGGGGGGTGATTTCTCGTTTTCTGCCTGTCTCTCTCTGTCATTCTGGTGAGCGCACGTGCCCTATAGCAAAAACCTCTCCAAAAAAAAAAAAAGAATTAAATTTGAGGCCTACAGGTGGCATGGTGGTTAAGGGCGCTGGACTCCCACATGGCCAACTGAGGTTTAAGTCCCAGACCTGGCGACTTGCTTTCTCACTTTCTCACTCTGTCCCTCTCTGGGCAAATTAAAAATAAACAAATAGGGACCAGCAGTTAGTGTAATGGCCATGTCACTGAACTCCCTTGTAGTCGACCACAGTTCGAGTCCCAGACCTGGTGACTTAAACTCATGCCTGGCACATGTGCATGCATGCCCAAGACCCCTAGAGGAGAATGGAGGAGAAGGAATTGCTGCATGGCCATCCCCCCCTTGAGGGGGGGGTGATTTCTTGCTTTCTGTCTCTCTGCCTTTCTCTTTCTGGCGAGCACACGTGCCCTATAGCAAAAAACTTTCTAAATAAATAATTCCAAGAATTATTTTTTTATTTAACATTATTTTTTTAAATTTGACCAGAGAGGAACAGAAAGAGGGGAAAAGTGAGAAAAACAAACCTCCAGGTTTAAACAGCAGTCAGCCTTGTGGGAGTCCAGCACCCTTAACCACCAAGCCACATGCCACTGCCCTCCTCCTTTGAGTCTTAGTCAGTCTTAGCTGCTGGGTCTAGGACTGGAACTATGGTAGTTCACTTATAAGTCCAGCAATGTAGCCATTACGCCACCTGCTGGTCCCCAGCATTCTCCCCGCCCCCCTTTTTTTTTTTAAGAGTTATTTTATTTAGGGACCAGCAGGTGGCATTAGAAGCACTGGATTCTCACATGGCCGACTGAGGTTCGAGTCCCAGACCTGGTGGCTTGCTTTTTCACTTTCCATTTCTCTCTCTCTCTCTCGTCAGATTAAAAAATAGTAACAACTGGAATTTAAAATTTTTCTTTTTTAAAAAAAATATTTTACTTAACTTTGTTGTTATTATCTTTAATTTGACCAGACAGGGACAGAGTGAGGGGGGAGTGAGAAAGCAAACTCCCAGGTCTGGGATTGAAATTGCGGTTGACCATGTGGGAGTGAAGCGCCCTTCACCACCAAGGCACCTGCCAGTCCCCCAGCATTTTTATTTTTATTTATTTATTTTTTTCTTAAAGAAGATATAAAAGAGCTTTTTGTTTTTTCTTTGAAATCTTTTTGGTTTTTGCCATAAGTGCATGCATACTCCAGAGAGAGGGAAAGTAAGAAATCACCCACCGAGGGGATGGCCACATCACAATCCCTTCTGTGGGGAATTTGGGCACTCATATACTCTTGAGTGATTTTCAAGCTGCTAGGTCCAGGACTTGGGCCATGGTTGGCCATGTGGGTCCCCGGCACTTTAACCACCACAGTATCTGTCTGCCCTGAAATCTCTTCTATGTAATGTGACAAGGAATTGTCAGTGTTATAATATCTTTTGTACTTTGGAAATCTGTGAGGATATGAGGTATTAAAGCATTACCAGCATTGAAAAATGTAGCCAAACAAAATATCTGTTCCCTAAGAAATACCACTTTTTGGGACCAGCAGTTAGCATAATGGCTATGTCGCCAGACTCCCATGTAGTCGACCGTAGTTTGTGTCCTGGACCCGGTGGCTTAAACTTAAAGTGAGATTTTGTACTTTGGAAATCTGTGAGGATATGAGGTATTAAAGCATTACCAGCATTGAAAAATGTAGCCAAACAAAATATCTGTTCCCTAAGAAATACCACTTTTTGGGACCAGCAGTTAGCATAATGGCTATGTCGCCAGACTCCCATGTAGTCGACCGTAGTTTGTGTCCTGGACCCGGTGGCTTAAACTCAAAGTGAGATGCGTGTGCATGTGTGCATGCATGCCCAAGATCCCAAGAGGAAAATGGAGGAGAAGGGATTGCGGCGTGACCATCCCCTCCTGGGGGGTGATTTCTCGCTTTCTGTCTGTCTCTGTCTTTCTGGCAAGCGCACACGCCCTATAGCTTAAAAAACCTCTCCAAAAAAGGAAGAAAAAAAAAAAGAAATACCACTTTTTTAAGGTTTTTGCCATAGGATGCCTGTCCTTGCAAGAGACGGTGAGAGGAATAGTGGATCCCCCCCACCCCAGGGTGGGGGGTATGGTCATTTGGCAATCCCTTGGGATTTGGGCACACATGCAAATGGGCCTGGTGTGAGTTTCAAGTCACCAGATTGAGTACTCAAACTGCAGTTGGCCATATAGGAGTCCAGCACCTTAACCACCACAGTACCTTTTGGCCCCAAGAAATACTAAGTTTAAAATAGTTTTAGATACTAATAGAAATACTTTCTGGAGATCACATAAGATAGGTAGGAAACATTAAGTTAATGGAAATAGATTAGGATCAGCAGGTGGAGTGGTAGTTAAGGGCATTGGACTCCCACGTGGTCAGCTGCGGTTCGAGTCCCGGACCTGGTGGCTTGCTTTCTCACTTTCTCTCTCGCATTCTGTCTCTCTCTGGTCAAATTAAAATAAATAAAATTAAAATAGTTCTTTTTTTTAATGTAAATAGATTTAAAAACTGAGATGAGCGATCAGCAGTCAGTGTAATAGATACATCACTGGACTAACATGTTCTTGAACACGGTTCGAGTCCTGGACCTGGTGCCTTAAAATTCATGCTGGGTGCTGTTAAAAGAAAAATAAACTAATTGAGGGGAGTTTTAATGGAGCAAATCTTAGCACCCTTAGAATTGGGGAGTTTGTATACTGACTGTCAAGCAACTCCATCTAGCCACATTGGAATTTAAGGTCCAGGAAAGGAATGCAGGAATG